GCCCCCCGCCCAGCCCTACCGCTCTGCCTAGCATGCCTAACCCAACCCGTCCCGCGCTCTCGACCTCCGGGTGAGGTCAGGGCGGACGGCCGCCGCGCGAGACTCTAACACTGCGCTCAGACGAACCAGACTTGGCATCTCGGAGCTTAAAATGCGTGGTATTCTTATTTGAGACGAAAGAGACACAAGTAGAGGAGGGGTTTGTGGGCGCTGGCCGCGCAGCCCCCTCCTTTTGCGCCATGTGCTTCTGCTCCAGCTGCAATACTCGGGGAACACACAAGTCAGCAATAATTTAGCCCTATGGCATCGGATTGGTGTTCGATGCGACAGCAATCGATGACGCGTGCTCGTATGTACGACGACGACTGTTGAGGGGGAAAAGACAGCCCCCCTCGGACAGCTTTTCCAAGGGGTTGTTGCATCGGAGAGCGATGAAGGGAAGGGGTGACCCTCGCCTAGGCTATTCATGTAGCGTGTGGTGTAGGGGTGGCGGCCGTTGTCATGTCCTCAGCGGCCGCGCGACCGCGGTCGAGCAACTGGGACAGCCGGGCCGGGCACGGCGTTGCGTGGGTGGTCGCGCTGCGCGTCCTCCGCCCCGCCTCGCCCTTTACAGTAAGGACCCAGTCGCATCTCTCCGCTCCGCACGTTTTGCCTCTCATCGTCGTCGTCTTATTTCTTGGCTCAGCCGCAATGCAGTCGCCTTGCCTCGCCAGTCGCCGAGCCTTGCAGAGCCTCGCCGGCCTCCTGTGGGTCTTGGTCTTGGCGCGGCGGGTAGGCGAGCCGAGCGGAGCGGAGAGGGGCCAGAGCCCAGCCGAGCCGCGGCCGCGGGCGAGAGCCGAGCCGAGCCGGCCCAGCTGGCAGTCAGGGCAGCAGCAGCAGCGGTCCGCTCTCTCCCCACCCCACGGCGTAGCGCAAGAGCACAAGCGTAGCGCTGGCAACCGCGCCGCCGCCGCCGCCGTGCCGCCGCCGCCCACCGCTCACCGCCCCCAGCCGGCCCCGGCATGGCCTCGGTCCGCCGCCGCCGCCTCCCGCCTCTGGCACGGCGCACGGCATGGGCGACTCGCCTGCCTCTGCCATCCGTCCAAGTTGTTGCGTCGCTGGGCCGGCGGCGGCCCGGGCGGGCGTCAGCGCCAGGTGGCACACCGTCCCGGCCCCGGCGCCACCAGGAGGATTTGCTTGCGAATGTCTTGGCTGCGGCAGGATTTGCGACAGCCTGGCTATGCCCTAAGGACACCCGCCACGACGTAGCAAGTGGCCTCGCCGGGGTTGAGCACGTCCAGGATGCGTCCAGGACCGGCCACCCTCCCTTCCCAGCCCCGCCCGGCCCCGCCCGGCCTCGCCCGGCCGCGGTCCCGCC